GTGTGTGTGTGTGTGGGTGTGTTTATGTATGTATGTATGTATGTATGTATGTATGTATGTATGTATGTGTGTATGTGTGTATGTATGTATATGTATATGTATATGTCTGTGTATGTGTATGTGTATGTGTATGTGTATGTGTATGTGTATGTGTATGTGCGGTGCTTGATTTTTTGCTCATGTTCTTTGCAACTCCAGGGCACCTGCACCATCGGCGGGAATGCGGCCACGAATGCAGGCAGAGGGCATGCAGTACTAGGCCATCGAACCCTGTGTCTGCATGGAGAGCACCTCCCTAAACCCCAGGCTCTAAACCCTGAACCATGACAAAACTACGGCTGATGATATAAATCCTGCATTACCCATAAAAAGGAATGTACCAGAATTCCCATAGTTTAGGATCCTTAAGGTAGTGCAGGATGTATATCATCGGCAGTATCCACAGTCTGACCCGTCCTGGAAGCTCTCGGCTCTGCTTGGCCCTGTGTCCAGGTGGCCTCCGATACTTGCGCTACGGCTCCCTTCGCAGCTTGTCTGCTTCTGGCCGAGCATGCAATCTTTGATAGACCTGCCAAAGAGTTCCATCATCAGCATCATGATGGAGGCACTAATAAACCCTAAAACCTAACATCTGCAAAAGCTTGTATTTCCTCATCATCAGCATCAACTACACCTATTGTACTAGCAGTCGAGATGCATTGATGTGCCAAGCGTCGGCCAACCAGCTAGGCCCCATGCAATGCAAGACGGCGTAATATGATGCCTGAATTCCTAGCAAGATCGTCACCCTGTCGGTCGTCCCTATATAGCTTTACTATAACGTACCCCAAAACCTAGTATCCCCTTGTAGTGCCTTTACCCCAAGACCGATTATTCCCTGATGGTGCCAGTAAAGTCAGACTGTAACATACCCCAAAGTCTGAATCGTGAAGGCCCAGGCCACCATACCGGGGGGGGTTTAGTTTCGACCTGATGGTTCGAGGCATCGGTTTCTCGGACAGGGGGTCTCTTGGATCTGGGTGTAGCGCTAAGAGATTTCCGGTTCAGGGCTGAGGGTTTAGGGTGCGGAGTTGTTTGTGTCTGTAGGGTGAAGATTTCTTTGAGGCAGGGTTCAGAGTTAGAAGGTGCGGTGTGTTGTTGGGTTTCTGGAAACTGCGGAGTAGGGCTTCAGGTGTGCGTGGAGCGGCCCAAGCCACGGTAGTTGTAGGAGTGACGGTCATAGCAGACCAGGCGGCAACATCCTTGGCTTGGAAGCCGTGCTCGCCGACGGCAAGGCGACCATTTGTTACCCTGACACCTTGATTTTAGGGATTAAGGTGGAATTCGTGTGCAAAGGGTTGGGTTATGTTGGGTTTGAAGGTTTCAAGCGTAGGCCTAGAGTCTACTGCCAGAGCGTGGGTTAGGGTTTCGGGGCCACTCAGACAACTGGGGTCATAAGACTGGTTCACGGTGCAGAAGAGAGCGAGAGAGGGAGAGAGAGAGAGATAGATGAGAGAGAGAGAGAGAGCTCTATATATATATATATATATGTAGCTAGGTACGTGTAGTCGAACCCTGAGGTACGTGTACTGCTTCCCCCGAAAGCTCCACAAGCAGTGGAGGGCCACATGGGCCGGGGGGCCTGACAAGCCCCTTTGACCTCAAGGAAGAAGAGAGAGAGAGAGAGAGAGAGAGATATATATATATATCTATATTATTATATAGATATATAGATATATATATATACATATATATGTACCTATATATATATATATATGTATGTAGATATTTAGATGGATAGATAGATAGATACATAGATAGGCACAGAGCTAGATAACTAGATAGATAGGTAGATAGATAGATAGATAGGCAGATAGATAGATAGATACATATGAGCGCGGGGAAACGGGCCGCTCCCCTTTCCTCTACCCTTGGGAAAGAAAAACAGATAGATTTTACGGTGCTAGGAATCTGTATATTCTCGATGGAGCAGGCGCGAGGGGCTTCCAACTCAGGAGGACGGAGGGATCCAGGTATACAGAGGGAAACATCCCCGATATTGCTTCAGACTTGGGATCGGTTCCTGGGGGCACAAGTGCGACTGTTTCAAAGGGATTCGTGGCATGAAGCATAGCAGCAACAACATCTTCAAGTCAGAGCGATCCATGAACATCCTGGGCGTGGTCGTCGTTTGCCCTGTACGCTGACATTTTCCCGTTTCCCAGGTCGCGCCCAACCATTTCCAAACCAGAGTTGAGCCCAAAGGCCTCAGCCTAACAGCCTAAATCCGAAACTATGCTGGACATGTAAACATTCAGGATGACCATGCGCCCAGCATCCGGGGCCTTATAACACTTAGCCCCAATAGTACAACCCGCATCAGGTGGTGAACTCGCTCTCAGCATTGCGCAAGGACCGGGCCAAATACAACAGTGGCTTAGGGCCAGCTTTGCTTCAGGAATCGAAAGCTGCAGTGCTTCAGAAGGCACAGAGGGTTCTGTACATCTCAGCAAGCGGCCATGTATACGTTCTACTTGGAAAAACAGTCCAGCCTCGTAGGTGACCGGTAGGGCCAGGTGTTTGTGGCCGAAGGTGTAGACCCACCAATTTGTTCTATCGTCTGCTAAACATCGTTGGCGTTGTTGCCATGTATGCAGGTGACGGGTGTGAAATTAGACTCCTGGATGCAACGCGTTGTTGCCTGATATCCGGCCAAGCTGAACAAATTAGCAAGAGAAGCTGAGGACAAGTGGACAACACGGACAAAGCGTTGTTTTTGCGGCAGTGAACTGCGGCCTAGTTGTCATCAGGGGGTCAGTTGCGGATTTGCTTGAGCGCCTGAACAGCAGGACAACACGGGCTACGGGCTGCCACAGCTCTTCATTGGGTCCGAGGGCACACTAGGCACGGATTTTGTCAAGGTTCGATGTTGCACAGAACACCGGAGCATGAAACGCCGCTTGGTTATATTCTGAGAGTCTGTTCGGCAAGCCCAATGGGAATTGTTGTCAGCTGAATGCGTTCGATTTTCTCAAGACGGCCCAAACTATGAAGACATAGTAGCCGGCTGTGCATCAGCAAATAGGCCAACAAGCCTGCATCACTCAAGATGTGCGGAGGATGCGAAGCTTTGGATTGCAACACAAGATCTGACGAAGCGCCGACAGGCCTTATGAACCCACGGAACTCTTGAGTATTGAGTATTGTTACTATAATAATTCATTACAAGTATATTGGAATTACTAGTACTATTCAAGTAATGGTTAGTTTCTGAGTGTGATTACGCTTGCTAGTCTTATTGCCCCCCCAGTCCGGCCAGGCGTGATTACCAAGCTCACAATCCTGTGCCCTCCGCGGCCAAAGGCCTTTGGACTTTCAGTCTGTTCGGAGGTACCGCTGCTTCTTACTTAGCAGGGAGATCATTGGATCACATTCTGCAAAATATTGGGGGATACTAGAGCTTTGGCATCGTGCCTGGTGAGTTTGTCTCGTGGCGGTCTAGACCCTGGTTACGTGCAGTTGCGTTGCCCTGTTGGGGTGTTTGCCTCTCCGTTATGCCAACAAAGGTGCTGGTGTTTTCCTGGTAGTGGCTTCTTGTGATGATTGCTCGGCAACAACACTGCTGCCCGTGTCGACCAGGCCATCAATATCGCCTTCTTTGCATGCTCCGACTTTGAGAATGTCATGCAGCTGCAAGCCGGACAACTTTAAGACGGGGAAACCGCTGGGATGAATTGGACGCCTTTCGACCACGTGCTCTCCACAATAGCTCCCTAGACCTGAAATTAAAGATGAATTCGGTAACTGACGCCATGAAGCCCAAGACTTGGGTCTACCGGCTTCTAAGGCCAACCTTGATCCCTAAACCATAACCCTAACAGCTAAACTCAGCTGAGCCCTCCCGTTTGTCCACCCCACAGTTAAGGTCCAGCGCACCTTCGCGCTGGCGCGTCAGAACCTCGGCGAGGTGGCCTATCCTAGGATCAGTGTGTGTCGTATGCAATGTGTGGCTGAAAAGTTTTCATTCGACAGCATGAAAGACAGTATGAGAAGAGCATCATAGTTTGAACAGTTTTAACGTATGAGCATGGTTTCCCAGATGTCACTGTTCAATAGTTGTTCATGTCTTGGTTGCTCCTCGAGGCACCGGTGCATAGGTACTTTGCTTTGGGGGCCTTTAAGAACAACTCCCTGAAGGTTTTCAGAAGGCAGAGGATCCCCTTTCATGTGGGTATGGTAGAGAAAGCATGGCCTATGAGCCCGGGGACCCGGCCCCGGAGAAGTAGACCTAAGCTATACAGCTCTTCCTCTCTCCTTCTCTCTCTTGCGTTTTTGTTTTGTTTTGTTTCTCTCGCTCTCTCTCTCTCTCGCTCGCTCTCTCTCTCTCTCTCTATCTCTCTCTCTCTCTCTCTCTCTCTCTGTCTCAGATAGATAGAGTCGAACATAGAGCCAAAGAAGCCTCATTGAAAGGTGCTCTCTGCTGTAGAGTTCTGCGACCGAGCAGCGATTGACTTCGTGCACCCTGACTGCTCTGATGGGCTGTCGGGCCTCGCTTTGGCGAAGGGTGTGGGGATTCTGTTTAGGATTTAGGGTTTTGCGGTTTCTACGGGGTTTTGGTCACCGCGCAACATCACCACATGGAGGCATTGCTTTATTGGAAGTGTTGAGTCTTTGAGAATTTCTTACGCCGCCCGTGTGAGGGCTGCACCATCCGAGGCTGAAGCGGGAAGCTGGAACAGGGGTGCGCGACCCCTTGGAGGAGACGCATCCCTTTTATGCAGGGACCTCAGTCCTCCGCGATGCCCAAAGCAGCGAGGGAGGTCCGAAAATGCCAAGACTTGCTATGCAATGCTTGCCTCTGTCAAAGGAAGAGATGCCTGCCGAACTTACGGCCCTAAACCCTACCTTAAACCGCTCCTCTACTGGATGTCGTGGACACTCGAAGGGCTCACTGAGTGGAAACAGGACCAAGTCATACGAAGTCATCCAGGCCTTCTTTGCCAGACCTTGAGCCCCTGGTGGTGTTTGAATTACGAACGAAAAGCCGTAGGCTAGGGGTTTAGGGATTTAGGGTTTAAGGTTACAGGGTTTAGGGTTGAGGGTCAAGGGCTAACGACGGGTTGAGAGTTAAGGGCTTACAGGCTTACTAGCCTTTGGAGTACGACTACAAGCTTGAGCGCCTGCAATTCAGAAACAGCATGTGCCATGCCCTTCAAGACTTGAAAGTGGAAGTCCCAAATCCTGCTGCACTCTCAACTGCGAGACGCTAGTGCCCAAAGCGGTGAAGGCCTACTAGGAGGCACCAAAGGAGTTCTATTCAGGAGTATGCAGTTACTTGAGTGTCGCGCGACACAACCTCCAGGTGCTCATAGAAACTTCCGGGTCGGACGGCGACCATGATGCAGCGAAGCCTGGATGCATCGGGGCATGGTTGACTGTGTGTTGATGTCGCGACTTCAACGGTTCAGCGGCTGTGTCGTGCACGTCGGGCGTCATCAGGGTGACGAAGCTCGGCTATCCGGCAGACTGCATCATCGAAAACGAGTTTGTCACTGTCGGTTGTTCAGCGGTAGACCATCTACGGTTGGAATCTGAGCATTCGCAGCTGCCCTGTGAAGCTCATGTCTCTGACCGTTCAAGAGGATGGTGGGTTTGCAAACTTGGGGTTCTGAACTTGGATCTGCGCCCTACAAGCCGTTCCGGTTTGGATGCCTTCGCTACAGCCCTTTGACTCTCAACCAGACGTATTGCCTCTGGAGTCGCTCGGATCCCTGAGTCAAGGAAGCTCCACAGGTTCCTGGAGGCGCCAGGGCCCTTTCGTAGGGGTTGGAGGCTGCCTCTGGTATCAGGTCTATGCTCTCAGCACCTAAATAAGCAGCTCTGCGCTCAGATTCTCGAGACTTTCTTCCGGCGATGTATAAGAAAGCCTTCAGCATGATGGTTGAACCATGCGCAGAGTCAAGGGCGATCTGCTGCAGGGGCTGGTTCATAGATTCGAGAACATGGGTTCAAAGGCGAAACTGATTGACACCCTCAACTCCCAACCTGCACTTTCATGTCCCACAGAAATACGGCAGATGGCCCGAGCACTACAGTGAAGCGGGTATTAGCCTGCATGCCAATTCTGAAAACAAATTCATAATCGAAATATGCTCTTCCATTCCCATCAACAGGCTCGTATGCATGCAGTGTATAGTGCATACATGTATATGTGTATGTAACCGTATGCACGTATGTAGTTCCCAGTTCCCAATAGAAAAACGCACATGCAGGCGTACATACATGCGTATGTGTGCAACTTTTTGAGTAAAACTATCCGTATACATATACACATTACACATATCAGTACATATGTACATGTACATATATGCAGGATACGTATACACATGTATGCATATAGATAGATTGCACATAGATATATATATATATACACACATACACATACAGATATGTACGTTTGTAGGACATATATATATATATATATATATTCACATACATACACATACACCCAAAGTTGTATGCACCTGTACGAATACGACACACACACATATACATATATATATACATATATATATACATATATATATATATACATGTACACATACACATATACGCGCACACACACACATACATACATGCATGCATGCACACATACAAACATACATACTGGGTATGTATATACATACATATCCAGTATGTACTTATGTTGGTACTGCATGTAAGATGCATGTAACATACTTTGTAGGTTTGGATACCGGTAGAGCTGTGCCACATCCATTTCTGTTTCTGCCTGGTACCATTATACGCAAGTTTGTTGAATCATCTCTGTGTGTGTGTGTTTGTGTATGTATGTATGCATGCATGCATGCATGTATGTATGTGCACATCTACGAAGGCCGTCATGTCTGGAGATGGCGATCCGGCTGTGCGTGATGGCGTGGTGGCAGCAGACGAGACACAGGTTCGTCTCGGACAGCCTAACCTAGTACTCGTAGCAGAGTAAGTACCGTTAAACCTTTTGGGGTGCTTTAATGCCAACATAGTCCCAAGGGTTGGTTAACGTTTAGTTCTGACTCTGCACAAGTAAGCAGAGACCTTGGCAAGAGACCTTGGCAGATTTTTTCAGAAGGCGCCAGGTTGGCCCTGGCAAAAGTGATTGTAGCCCGTCGGACATGACCAGGTACGCCACTCTGCCGTGTCGGTTTAGAGCATCTCCGAGAACCACTGGAAGTCTGATTTCATTGAATTTAAGTCGTGGTCTGCCAGCTCAGTGAAGCATGTGAATGCGAGCATGTAAAGACCCGGCAACAGCAGTTGATTTGTGTGATGCTGGCTGATGCTCTGATGATGTTGCTGCTTTCGTGCTGTGCCAACCCATGCTACTCGCGGAATAATGCTATGTTGCCATGTTCTTGTCTTGCTACTCAATCTGGCATCTTAACATTTGCTGTGGATGTTATGTTTATACAATCGACTTACTGCCGTCTCATGTCAGACTTCCGTTGTGCTAAGTAGTACATGCGACTTGAAACCCCTTCATCGATAGTTTGTTGGAGTCCTTACTGAAATCCTTAGCGCCTTCACCCGGGCATAGATGCAGGCCCGTGCCATTTGGAGGCTTCGCGAAGGCGTCAGTGATGCGATGACAACGGCAGGTTATGTCTCCTGGCAGGGAAGTTCAATTGAAGATATGTCCGCTTCGCGTGTTAACCAGGCTGGTACACAGAGGTCATGTCTGACGTGGACGAGCAAACCTGAACAAAATCGACATGCTAATCAGGCATCGTGAGCCATTCAGATGACAGAAGAACACGTTCTCGTGCTGGACTGCCCTCAACGTCATGCGCACACCCTTTGTACTGAATGGTTCGCAAATTTTGTAGTTGCACGCAGGGTCAACCAAGACACGCAGTAGATGCCATGAATGCATCTGCACAGGTAGTCCCTTCACAAACTTCAGCAGGATGTATAGTTTAAGTAGCACTGAATCCAAGGTGTACAAATACGACGTATCGCTGCCACTTCCGCGCATGTATGAGCTGGTCGAAGACACGCGGGCAAGGCTGCTTCGGCCTCGCAGCGGAGCAGTTGCGACTTCCGGTGATCGCCCACGACTTGCCCCTAAGGTGTCAGCTTCCTTTTCTGATTGAGTTGCTTGCAGTTTAGAACCGTGACAAACTCCTAAAATAGAAAATTTAGAGAATTCCCATAGAGCTCTCGCATAGTCCCGGGGCCTCAGATTCCGAAGCCATAAACCGCCTGGGCTGTGCAGGCTCCGAGATGCAGGTGTGGAGGAGCGACGGGTTGGTCAGAATGTGGTGTTGGGTATCAGGGCAATCTGACTCGGAGTTTTGCCAAAGTGCTGGACTCAGGACTTTAAAAATTTTGTCCCGTCGATGTAGGAGCGGAATGCAGGGGCAGACGCGGGAAATGCGATTGTGAAGATCTGCTTTGCATTTGTCTGCTCGTGAGTGCTGCAGCACCGACTACCTCTGTCACCATCATGTACACACCTGATGTTCTTGCGAAGCTCGGGCGGGCCGTGCGTGCGCGGACGAATCCGACAGGAGTCGGCCAAAACTGCCGGATATGGGCATCTAGGCCGGACATCTTCGTGATCCTGTGGCAGGTTGTCCCTAGTCCTTTCCAATCTCTGCCGATGCTTTCAATATCATTGCTGCGGTTTTCAAGCTCAAAGGGAGCAACCTGCCAGAGGAACTGCAGTCAAAGGCTTCGGGATTGGCGGAAGCCCTGTAGAGCAACTTGATACCAGTAGCTTCGAAGCAGGTACCTCCTCTTATTTGTTCTCAAGAGCAGTCCAAACTCAACGAAGCGTATCTGCAGCTTTCTGAGTGCAATGACAGTGGTTGAAGTTCACCACAGCTGCGATACTGTTGAAGCTCCCGTCCCTATGTTTCCATCCCTTGGCAAAAACTCATGACTTCAAACCCCACCTGCACCACGAAAGACCTACGAGGATTTATGTAAGGTAAGGAAGTCATAACAAGGAAGCCTGAAAAGGTAGGTTGTTTGGGTTAACGTAATCCCTTTACAAAAACCCTAAACTCTAAACCTATACCTCGCCACCCAAATCAGTGGCGGAGGTGATGCGAATCTCCACCTGAATGTGACTTCGCTGACCGGTCGGGACGACAAGGCTGGGAGGGTGAGGGGTATAGGGACTTCAAGCCCATAGGATTTGGAGATTCAAGGGTTTTGGATTTGGTTTAGGGGCCTTTTGAAGATGAAAAGCGTCTAATCAGAACCCCTAAAACCTAAACCCGAAACACCCCCAAGCCCTAGATCCTGAACCCTCCAACCCTAAATCCTAAAGCCCCCAACCCACCCAACCCTCGAAGCCGTAGAATCAGGTCCTGGATCTCTTGGAGCCGTGGCTTTTTGAGTGGGTGGCGAAGGCCAGCGGCAGCGCCCCGGCCTTTCGATGTTGCGGTCGTGGCAACGACCTTGGATTACAGAAACCTACGTTCTGCAGGGCCCCGATAAATTCTACAGCAGCGATTCTAACAAGAACCTACAAAAAAGTAGGTTATGGTAGTGTAAAGGATGCAAAGGAAGCACGGCCACCTCTTACGCCTCCTGTTCCTAAAGAAAGCAACCGGTATGTTTATCCCCGTAGCTATGTCTAGTTTTTGCCTTTGCCCTTGTATAGAGAAGGTGTATGTATACGTGTATGTATATGTATGTGTATATATGTATACATTACACGTATACATGTGTATATATATATGTATACATAGATTGATTGATTGGTAGATTGATTGCTCGATTGAGATTGAGATTGACATAGATAGAGCTAGAGATATCTGTATACATAGATACATAGATTGATTGGTAGATTGATTGCTTGATTGAGACTGAGATTGACATAGATAGAGCTAGAGATTCAGAGAAAGAAAGACAGACTGACAGACAGACAGGTGAACGAAAAAACGAAGGAATGACTCCAAACAAGAAGGAAGAACAGAAGTAAGGACAGAAATAGATAAAGAGAGAGAGGAGAGAGAGAACGAAAGTAATGAATAAATAACAACTAACCAACAAAAAACAAACTAGAGAGAGAGGGAGAGAGACAGAGTTAATTGGCTCTGTAGGGTGTACTGGAAGCCCTAAACCCCAACAAGCCCCGAACCCTAAACCCAGATTCGCCACAGCCCCATAAGTTTCACATGATCCTTGAGCTTCGTCCTACGGCCCAGGCATCAGTGCGGAGCATGGCATCGGCCAATGCAAGCCTCATTTCCTACACCTCAGCAAGGCAGCCTCCTGACACGATCAGGGAGAGCAGTTTCAGAGTTCAGTTCTCAAATTTCGTCTGAAACTCAGGATCCGGGTTTAGAAAGGGTTTGGGGTTGGCTTGGCCTGGGAGTATGGATGAGGTGCATTTTCTTTTGCCAAACTTTCCCGCCTCACCACCAGCAACCAAGAATCCCCTGCACACGAGCTTCCACGATCTGAGCATCTGAGGATAGCGCCGTCGATCTGATGAAGACTCTCGGCCGCGAGCAGTGTCCGAAGAGCCTTGCAGTGCGGGCTTGCAGCGTGTCCATGTCAGATTGTGAAATACCTTCTGTCACCCAGGTGTAACGTGTAATTAGGAATCACCGTGTCATCACATAGTCAAACAGAAGTCAAGATACTCGACAAAGCATCCAAGCAGTACAACCACAGAGAGCCGGACGCAAAAACACCTGCACACGAAGCCCGCAGGTGGAGTTGCGAGTTTGAGGGTATGGCTGGGTTTACCGCACACCCTGAGTCTTGATCCGACACGGGCAGGCGTAATACCGTAAGAGAACCGACACCTCAGCTTGAACAAAAAGCCTAAGGCCAAGGACCTAATCCACAAACCTTTAGCACCCCACCAGCACCGTTCCGAGGACGCTGAAAGCCACTTTGGATCCGCAGGGCATTTTGAATCCCTACAAGGTCCTGGTGTAAAAGAATGGACTTCTCTGAGGAGGACGTGATAGGTCACCACACAAATGCACCCAGACCCTAAACCCTAAACCTCCAATCAAACTAAAGTAGCCAAAGAAACCCTGGACTAGATCCTGTCAGCAGCTAACACAGGTGCCAACCGTGGGGTTTCTCGTGTTGCTCCGTCTTCCAAAAGAAAATGAAAAGCAAAGCATAGAGTACATGTAGAAGCACAGATATAGATTATAGATGCAGAAAACCTCAGCTGCTAGACAGATGGATGGGTGCAGCATGTAGAAATGGACATGTAGGTGGGCAAACCCTAATGAACCCTAAACCCTAATAAATCCTAAACCCCTAAACCTACAACCCCGAGCTTCCTTGCCCAAAGCCGACATTCCCTGCAACCCTCCAGCCCCGGAGCCAAACTTCAACCTTCCTTGCTAGTGTCTTATGGGCACAGGGCTTTGACAAATCATAGTTGGTGTTCTGCAATGGTCCAAAACCCTGCTATAACCATAATTAAGGCCACTGTCTTAATTAAAGTCCTTTGTAGGACAGATGGAGTCCTGTTTGCTTCAAGTCTCGCCTCTCTGTACCCCTCAATGCAGGGGCCGTTTCACCGTCACAAGAATTTGATTGTCACTCGCTACTGATACTGTGCAACCTTGCGCAGTCGCACAACGGTACTGCAACAACACACGGTACTGATTTCTGTGACTTGCAGTTCATGCATCGTGCGGATTGAATCAGCAAGGTGCTCTCTGGTCTCACAGTCGACTGGACAAAGGAAGCTGAGACTTGCATCTTGTGGACGTATGTTCGATTAGAAGAAGCCGTTTCTGTCTGAAGGACGCCATGCTGCGTTCTCTGGCGCGTGCTTGAGTGCCGGTTTGCTCATATGGAAAATGGGACCCATGGAGCTCAAGGCTAAGAGTATGTTGGATCGCCAGGCCTATCTATGTCGGCACGCATAAGCAGGAAATTGGGGCAGCAACCAGAAAACAAAGGTAAAGCAGTCCCACAGACAGTTTGAGATTTGAGGGGCCTCGGTAGAACTGTCCCGAGGCGCTTCGAATCCAGCGTGCCCTGGCACAGGCGCGATCAGAAGGGAGGACGTGGCTTGCAGCCGTCTTGTTTTGCTTTAGGTGTGGTGCACTGTACCTGGAAGGTTGTTTCATGTCTTCTCTTAGTGATGCGCGACGGCATGATAAAATGTAACATAATATAGAACAGAATAGAATAGAATAACATACAATATGATGTACTGCATTTTAGTATGATCGAATACAATCTTTGCACTATCTATGTACATATATGTATATATGGCATGGCCGATATGGGGACTTCGGACAGAGGCTCAGGAAGGTGTCGGGCTCAGTGCGTGGCCGACACAAGACAGGGTTTAGGGTTTAGTGTATGCACTCGCGGCTTGAAATCAAGATAGACAAATATGTCCAGAGGCATAGATGCCAGACTCTACCTTCTAGCAGATCAAGCCGGTGACAAAGCAAGAGCGTGTGACACTGCTCTCGCTGTAGGATCCGTAACCAAATGTCCGAATCCAACTCAGCTACTGCGCAGACTCCTCCCAAGGCCTCAATTTCCGGAAGATCCCCACCCCTTATCTCTATCCTAAGTCAGTAACCCTTTCATAAACCACTGTAGGAACCGTCAACCCTACCGGCAACCATAAACACCCTTCTAGTACCCCGGATAGGAACCTTACTTTCTAATCTTCAAGCCCAAAGCCCTCTACTCGAAATTCGTGGGAGGGTTTAAAGGTCAGGGTTGCTGATAGGGTTTAGGGTTTCGGGTTTAATTTTTTGCGGTTTAGTGGGAGGCCCAAGAGGCGCGAGTGGATCTCCATGAAGGCGGCACAGAGCTGCTACAGCGGCTGCAGCTAAGGTTTGCCACGAGTTTCAGGATTTGTTTCTTGCAGGGCAAGAAGTCAGAGGGTCCTCGCGGTTCGAGTTCTTTTTATGGAGCGGGGCATCTAGGGTCCAAGTTTGGTGCTTGCTGCGCTCTCCTGTTGCATTCAAGGGGAGTTTAAAGGATCGTAGAGACAGCGGAGTGCTCGCCCCTAAGCCGTCGGCACTCATGGTCTGTCCCTATAACTCGTCGTCAAGATGCTGCGATGTGGGAATCTAGCCCCAAGCTCGCTTTGAAGCCTACGATCCTTCTGCCAGCTTGCAGGTTGGGGTGGGGCCTACATAATGACCAGTATATATATATATATTCCTTATGGATACCTTAATACATGGGTTCTACAAGCTTTGCGCTATCAGCGCTTGGGTGGGAGCCAGCCCAGCAGCAGAGACAGAGCAGCAAGGTTGCAGCTGGCTCAGGCGTCACGGCCTCAGTGAGGTTGAAGCCAAGGTTTGAGAATGGGGTGTAGGGTTTAGGCAAGTTTAGGGTGTATAGGGTGTATAGGGTTCAGAGTTTAGGATTGGTGCTCAAACACAATAACACATTTGCAGGGAGTGGGCTGTCCCTGCAACCCATTTCCTTACTTTTTCAGCAGGGTTAGAGATCGCCGGATTAAGGCTTCTAGCTTAAGATCTGCACGGGCAAGAGGTGTTTTACGAAAGTGCTACGCATGCCAGAAAGCGTCAGCAGTGGTTTTCATCACTATCCACACGAATTCTCATCATGGTCGTCATCGTGTGCTGCACCATCCTGGCAAGCATCACAATGGGAAAGTTAGGCTTCATGTGCTTCATGGCATTGATCCACTCTTGCGGTGCGTAAGAGTACCCTTTTAAGCCTCGTTGATTACCATTGTGTTGTCGTTGTTTTCGTCCTGTTCCTTTACCTGACCAGCATGAGCATCATGGTCTCCGGGTGTTTAAGGCAACTTGGCAGCATCGCACGGAAGAAGAAGAGCATTGCACTGCTCAAGGCGAGGATGGCTACTTCAAGGGTCAGGGGACTTAGCCAGTAGGTTATAACGGAATTTCCCATTCGCCTAAAATCACTGGTGTTCATACTGGTTCAAAATCTGCTGATGATTTATTTTTCAAGTCGATCACCTGAAGTTTGTTGCTTGGGCTTACGATGGTGGGCGTTGGGCCCTAGATCCTTCGTCCTGCACCATCTCTTTGCCGTTTAGGCGAACTGAGAGACTGCTGGGTCCAGGGCTTCACACTGGCGAAGAGACGGTTGCAAAGCATCGGTGAAGCTTTCGTGGACTGTTGTCTTTCTTTGACATCCTTTTCACCTTGCCGCCCTTGCCCTGTCGGAGGACAACGCCCAAAACCGAGAGGCTAGATGAACTTCAGAACATGGACTCGCCGGACCTCTGAAACCCAACTCAGTAAGCGTGGAACTTCGAAAGAGGTCGCTTCTCAAAGGAAGCCTAAAGCCCGACCACCCAAGTACCCAATTCGGCTTAAGCATGGTCGGTCTAACGATTCGAAAATTAAACTGTCTTTGTGCCCCATACATTCCCCTGTTGTGGTTGAGTGGCATCGGTTCGGGCACGGCTCCTCGCTGTTCAAACACGGACACCTAAATCCTAAATCCCCTAAGCCCCTAAACCGCCAAACCTCGTTAACACACCATTGGTCTGCAGGTGGCCCTTGACTCGGGCAGCGCGCGGTGCTCGGAAGTTACACTCTGCAGGTGTTTCGGCTTTTTGGGCCCAAGCAAGGCAACTGGTTTAGGGGTTTAGGGTTTTAGGGCTTAGGCCCAAGAGTCCCAAGAGTTTAGCATCCCAAGATTGGCGCGTTCACAGCTTGGGATACTGACCAGGTTTATCATCAACTGACCAGTATAAATACCAGACAATATATCATTAGGATTCGGAGGGGAATTCGGAAAGAGCACGACAAATCTGCTTTCGCAAGGCAGCACCAGAGTGCACAGACCTCTGGCTTTTTGCCTGCTTTAAGGTTTGGGGGCTTGTCTAGGCTACAAGCGACCATCACAATTAGCACAGACCTCTGAGGACTGGAGTCAATCGTGAAGCGGTAGGCAGACCGCCAACTATCCTCCGCAAACCGAAATCCAGAGCCCTGAAACTACGCACCCCAGAGGTCACCAGCGCAAAGCCCCAATAAACGTTATAAAGCCCTCTCAGAACAGCGCATGCTGCACATAACGGCCGCCAAAGCAGGGACTCCCGATTTCAAGGGGACCCCCCATCTAATATCTAGACCCGAAGGCCCTCAACCTTAAAACCACAAAACCCTGGAACCCTAAGACCCAAATTCATTACGACCCTCAGACCCTAACAGTAGCATCCTGATCGTTCTTCGCCTTTGCCAAGGCCTCACTTCTCGAAGCCGCCATCGCGGAGTGTGAGCGCGAGGGCGCTGAGGGCGAGGCATGCGAGGGTTCAGGGGGTTTTTCAGGGGTTTCATACATTAAGGTTTTAGGGTTAGGGTCCAGGGTTTGGTGTACGTTTGGTATTCGGGCTCGACGGATGAAAAGACGTGTGTTCTTTTGCGTACATGCTGGCATGCGGACATGCATTCTCGCATGCTTTCTCAAGCAATACCGTTTGCCTGTGTCTTCCCTCCGGAGTATGATGGTGGCCTCTGTGTGAGATCTTCTGTGAGCAGTTCGGCCTTGCATACACGGCTCTGGTGTTTCGAAAGCTTGGCGTAGGATTCAGCATCGGCGGGCTTATCTTTAAACCGTCCGGTTAAGCTTCTGGCTTTAGTTCAGGGCCGAGCGTGGCATGACGCAAGGTCAAAGGTGGGTCCAGAAAGGAAGGATGCCCACATGTGTCCCCTGCACCCCTTTGGTATTGAACGGATAGAATCACTAGTCAATCGTCGAGGCAACAATCCCCATGCATCTTCAAACTATCATCAGACCTATGGTAAGGGATGTGGCTTCCATACTCTTCACGAGTGATTTGGTCCTTAAGGGTACTGTAGCGGAGGTCAACCTGGACACCGCACGACGGCGCCTCATGGCGATCAAGACAGCGGTGGGGATGCCCATGACAAGAGTCCGCTTCAATATTTATTGAAACCCCTGAATTCCCAAACCCTGTCAGAACTATTGAGCCT